TGTCTTAGTACACTGGAGGTGTGTTGTGTGCTATGTCTTAGTACACTTGAGGTGTGTTGTGTAGTGTATCTTAGTACACTCGAAGTTTGTTGTGTGACCTTGTGTGGTGTGGTGTACATGCAAGTGCTTGTGTAGTGAGTCGTCGCACTATCCTATCTATTGCGATGAGATGGCTTAGTTTATCTTAGCCTCATACCTACCTTGCTATCAACAAGCTGCACCAATCATAGCACATGCTCCACCATTCCCTGGTATCCCCTAACCCCCTACTCCCATGTTTACCTACCAGGAGTCCTTTGTACTGCTGTGGAAGTCCTTCTACACCATCATTTGCGGTGATCACTCGGCCCTGTCCTCGAAATCGCAGACTGGGACCTGCACGCGCTCGGCTATGCCTGTGCATAACGACTACAGCGCCAAGGAAGTCCAGGTGTGTTTGGTTTTTTTAGGCGTCAACTAAGTTTAAATGCTATGTTAGTGGCAGAACAGTAGAGGGGTGCAGAGACACGTTGCTTATTCGGTATTGGGTCGTAAATTATTCCATGTCGATTAACGAGCTACAAATGCTGGACAATCGGGTGTCGTAAATACCGTAGCCAGTGTCATAAATTCTTTTAGTAGTGTCAGTTAAACAGTGTCTTCTTTCTATGAATATATATATATATATATATATATATATATATATATATATATATATATATATATATATATATATATATATATATAATATATTTATATATATATATATATGCATAGCGAGCATATATACTTAGTGCAATGGGTAAACAATTCACCAAACGTACTCAACAACTCCTGCCCATGCGCAGACACATATCCTCACCACACATACCCTCATCTTTCCATCTGCCGTACGCCATTGCCACCACAGAGCGTCACCGCTTTCGGCCGAATGTGCCTCGAATTAACGACACAAGAACACCACCACAAGCAGGGCATCAGCACCACACAATTAAAACAGGTCAGTGTCACGGTGTGTTGTCGCATATTTTAACATAGAGGAGTGAAAATGTCTGCTTGTTAAACTGCCGATATATATATATATGTGTGTGTGTGTGTGTGTCTGTATGTATGTGTGTGTGTGTGTGTGTGTGTGTGTATATATATATGTATACATATGTGGGTGTATGTATATATAT